AGTTCTGCCTGCTCTGACTTCCGTTCAGAAGAGCTGTTTATGTTAATGAGCTCTGTTGGTAACGCCCTCCAAAAATCTGTTGACATTAACTCCGCCCTCCAAAAATCTGTTGACATTAACTCCGCCCTCCAAAGCCAGCGTTTACGTTAGCATGGCTAATAATAGCAGAAGTTCCGTTGTACAACCATATGAGTGACCCAGAGGCAGAGTCCTGGTCGCAGCTTCTTTTTTTCCCCTCCACCTCCTCTGCTCTGCGCTCACTCTGCATGCTGTCACCAGAGCAGGGAGCAGCAGCGGTCAAAATACCTCAGAAACTCGAACAAATAGGCTTTAACAAGGCTTTAATCAGCTAAACAATAGAGGTACATGAGAAAAMGTGTTCATAACAAACGRAAATAAAAAAATAATTAAATTGTGTCYGTGCCAGTCTCAAACCCTGGTCTCCCACTCTCTGGTCCAACACTCTACCCATTGCCCTATTGGWGGCYTGYTGTGGAATGAGCTGCGTATTGCACAACAACAACCGTGAGGCTCTTTATACTGAGGAGGWGGAGCCTCACCCAGGAGTTGCTAGGTAAGGGGCTGAATGCAGGTTCCAGTGGGTTGTCGTAYGGCTTGTGACATCACAAAATGACGGAAGTATAAAACTTGTCGTTAATATACATTAAAAATACATTTACTTACAGTAAATATGCCCCTGGTTGCATTTTTTTGGTCCTAGGACTGTTTTTTAAGAAGTACATACCCAAAGTTGAGTAAAAAAAAACTTTAAAAAGTGAATTTTGCATAATATTTCCCCTTTAAAATGGAAAAATGTTAATATCACCTACCTTACAGTATCTCAATATAACATGATATAACACATTGTGACTGATGTGTCATTATATGTATACACAGCCCTGTTAGAACGTGTTTTTGAGCTGGACCATCTACAGTGAGTGAAATTCCCTGTTTGCACTGCTTCACCACATTTTTCAGCGTGTTTGATTCAATTTCTTTAGGTATATTTTTGGTCYAACWTCATCAACCTGCCAGAGTTTTACAGCCCATTCAGAGGAGCTCACTAATCTGGATCCSTGTTCTTCAGCATCCCGCTAACCAATTATTGCCTTATCTCACTCTACTGCATAATACTCCTCTAGCCTGCAGTTCATATTAGCTGTCCTTGTTGGAGCAGCAAGGCCCTGACAGTAATTGTTAATTGTAGTCACAGTAGACCTGAAAGGGTATTCTAATTTTATTGGTGTCACCTAAGTTCAGTGACACTCTTACAGCTTCAAGCCCAACCTAATCAGAGCACCATAGGTGGCTGTATATCATTAAAAGGCCATCATGGCGCTGAGGTGGTTCTTAATTAAAAAGATGGGAGATCTGCAGCGCTCTGTAAGGAGATGAGCCATGACGACACACAGTGGTGTTTTGACAGCTCAGGGTGGGAAGATGATATCAGTGACAGCTCTTTGTGAATTTCCTCCACCTACTTCTCTTCTTCCTGATCTAACCTGATTTGCATTTTGGGCTTTTAACTGTTGGCTGTCAACCAGAGGACATATGAGAAGCCTAAACAGTAGATTCAGAGTCACTTAGTTTTACTTTATTTGTTAATGTCCTCCAAGTTCCTCTTATCCCAGGTGAATTGTACATGGCCTCTTTTGAATGTAGCATGTTGAATACTTAGTGTGTTTTAATTTGTTTCCTGCTTCTCCCCTAGACACAGTGAGGAAAAGTGTTTCAGCTGCATCTATCTCTTCTCCTCACGCTGACCCTCCTGTGCCAAACGAGCCATCAGAGTCTCCCAACAGGAAATTATCTGCGAAGAGCAAGACATGCCAGAACTTGGGAACCCACAACAATGCCACTCCCGAAAGCCCGCCGCTGCTCTCGGAGCACACTGTATGTCACGTTTAAACTTGTTTACATTCATATTAGCTTGCTCTCAGATGATGCTCTTATCTGGACAACTTTAACTCAATTAAACATCCGACAGTAGTTGTTGGTGTGGGATTTTTTTTGTCCCCCCTGTTGTTACAGAAACGTGTGTAGACATTTTTCACCAGGCACTCCTCTCTGATCGTGTTTTCTCTGGTTTCACACAGCTTGCATCAACAGACTCTTTCATACAGTTATTGGATTCTTAGCATTTCTGCTGCATGGAAATGTTTTGACTCTCAGACCTGTAAAAAAAAAAAAGTGCACGTTTTGGACTTAGTTTCAACAATCTCTCACAAAGAGATTAAACTATAAAATGCTTACAGAAAATCCAAAACTTTTTGGCTGCAGATTATCTTTGCATGTTTTTTTTTATTTTTTTTTTTATCACAGACAGATTGGATTAGTTGACTGGCTTTTGGAAACAAAAAATATCAAGTAGTGACGTAAGATATTAAATATGCTTTTCCTTCTTGAAATTAGGATTGCTGGGCTAAGACTCTCTCTGCCAAGGATTTTAGATTTTCACAAGGACAAAGTTCTGTCTATGCATATATAAGCAAGTTGATTCCTAAAATATTAAAGCTTTTACTTTTTTCTTTTGACCTTTCAGTGCTGGCTAACCAAAACTTGTTTTTTTCCCCCTCTTTTCTACAGACAGAAAATGTGAGTTTCTTCCTCTCTGCGGACGGTGATACCTCCATGTCCTACGACCTGTCTTCTGTGGCCATTCCACCCCCTGTTAGAGAGGACGGATCGGAGCTGGAGCAGTCCAGGGAGTTTCCTCTGGGCTTTGAGCCTCTGCGATCTGAGCAGCTGGCCGAGATGAGGGTGCAGAGTTCTCCACTGGTCAAGGATCCTTTCTGCTCACCTCTGCTGGCTCCTGACAGCATGCTGAAAGGGCTGCCTCCTGTGCACATAGTGGTAAAACATGTATTTCATTCAAATTTACTTTTCTTAAATGTAATGTCTGAAAGAATAGAAAGGTAATTAACTGATCCCCTGACTGAACTAAATTTGGAGTATGGATTATTATTAGTTTACATTTAACACATTTCTATGAGTGGTAGATGATAGAGTTAAAAAAATTATCGCGCCACATATTTTACACATTATGTAAACGTCTTGTTGGCTTAACGCGTGTCAAAGTCGAGGCCCGCGGGCCAAATGTGGCCTGCGGATGACTTCTGTTCGGCCCGCCAGGAGGCCTCCCCTCAAAAAAACGTTTTTTTATTTATTTAATTTAATATGAAAATAGTTTATAGCAATTATAAACTTTAAATTTGATTCAATGCAACAAATTTAACACATTTAAAAGGTGAAATATAATAATATTTGTCCACCCTTTGAGCTTTAAGCAATTTAATTAAATAGCCCTGTATTAATATCTCAAAGTATGACCATGTTCAACTCAACAGTGAGTAAAACTTTTACTTTTACATATATTAGCATTTCTGTATTATTTGTTTCCCATTTAGTCAGTTATACACATAGTACATTTCACTCTTTATAGGAGAACATATTGAAACGCTGATTCTCTGCTGGAAATACCACGTAGAGCTCAGTTATTGTTTCTTAGCAGTGCTCAGCCGTAGCAGTGAGACGAGAAACATGATGTTTTGTGTTTTTAGTTGAAGTCTTAACACAAAACATCGAAGTTATTTACAGCTGGTCCTTTGAGGGCCGCTGTAACGCTCACGTGGCCCTCAGTGAAAATTAAACTGACACCCCTCGCTTAGAAGATTAAACTCACAGACAAAAAAAATCAGAAATTTGAGAATTACTGTGGTTGTTTCATACAATCTTCAAAGCAACTTAAAAGAAATGGAGAGAGAAAACAAAGCATATACAGTGGTTTGCAAAAGTATTCATACCCCTTGAACTTTTCCATATTTTGTCACATTACAACCACAAACATAAATATATTTC